ATCTACTTAAAATTGTGATCATTTTGCAATGACTGAATGTAACATGCAAGTTTTATAATGTATATATGTAGTAGGTAGAGGGACGCAGTGGCTCAGTGGTTAAGATGCTGAGCTTATCAATCAGAAACATCAGCAGTTCGGTGGTTCAAATCCCCAGCACTACATAACAGAGTGAGTTCCCCATTACTTGTCCCAGCTTCTGCCAACCTAGCAGTTTGAAAGCACATAAAAATGCAAGTAGAAAAATAGGGACCACTTTGGTGGGAAGGTAGCAGCGTTCTGTGCGCCTTCGGCATTTAGTCATGCCGGCCATATGACCACAGAGACATCTTCGGACAGTGCTGTCTCTTTAGCTTTGTAACAGAGATGAGTACCACCCCCTAGAACCGGAAACGACTAGCATCTATGTGCGAGAGGAACCTTTACCTTTTTATGTAGTAAGTATGACATGTAATAATATTATCACATTTATAATAAATGTAATATGTAACACACTGTATGTGAAAAAAAGACTTTGAGAGATAGGACGAAGAAATGATGCCTAAGGAGCAACCAGGTAGGAGAGGCCACAGCACACAGGTGCCTAATGGTTTGGGCAAGAGGCTCAGAAGGAATCCTTCCTCAACTTGTAAAGGAGACATGGGAGATTTGTACATTTAGACTTGCAAGATTTTGTTAATGTAGGCTTTAAAATAGAATTAACTTATTTGGTCATGTTTCCTGTCTGATTTCCCAGCAAAGGAAAGCTGACATATACTGAAACCAGGTCATTTGAATCTTGTCTTATTCCCATTAATACTCGGTAGTTTTCTGCAATGTTGGAATCTAAATTTGTATAATCACCAGGGTGACAAAGGAAAATATCTTGTTGCATAGTGTTTCTTGTGAAAAATGCAATAGTTTGTGTTAGAAATGGGAAAAAGAGAAAAATCATATGACTAAAGAACAGAAGTTTCTAAAAGTCACCACTTTTTAATCAATCTGACAAAACAATATTATTTCTAGGAGCATATCAGTCAACATACTTTTTAAAAGTTTAGCTTAGTTTCTCAGGGTTTTTTTCCCCAAGAGAAAAGCTGCTCATTTCCTAAAAGCTTTAATAATATATTTGTAAGTTATACAGCAAATAGGGATTATGAAATAGATTTACAATATCATATTTTAATTTTCCTTTCTGTAAATAATTCAACAAAACTGAACCCTAAAAAATGATTTTTCTCTGTGCTCACGCACAGGTTTTCATTAATGGCAAGCATTTAAAACACACTCAGAAAACTATGAAACTCAGTTCAAGTAGTACAGTAATCTACAAATTTTTAGGGACTGTTTATCAAGAAATAACTGGCTTGGCTCACTTATAATTCAAAAATCACAGTAGTTGGAATCATGCTCAGCTCAAACCACATTTAGGCTTGATGTGAACCCATTTTACATATTTTTGAAAGGGTTCTACTACACAGTACTGTGGGTTGTTGATAAAATGCAATAAAATAATAAATAACAAAATAAAAATAAAATCCTAGGCTTGTGATGGCAAATCAATGGCACGTGTGCCACAGGTGGCATGCAGAGCCATTTGTGTGTGCATGCGAACCCCAGCCAAACTTACCTGCACTGCGCATGTACACACCTCCCAGCTGATTTTCGGCTAGTTTGAGGTCGTTTTTTCCCTTCCGAAAGCTCAGGGAAAGCCTCTGCAGCCTCGGGAGGCCGAAAAATGGGCCTTCCGGAAATACCAGAAGTGTCTGTTTTCAGCCTCCAGAAGGTCTCTGGAACTCGGGGGAGGCTGTTTTCGCCCTCCTGGAGGCTTGAGGGAAGCCTCTGCAGCCTCAGGAGGCTGAAAAATGGGCCTTCTGGAAATACCAGAAGTGCCAAAACGGGTCCTAACCTAACCCTAACCCTAGACAATAAAATAAGCATAATTTATACATTCACATCACAGAAGTACTAGCCATAATTTTTATGCCAATATAAAGCATGAAAATATAACATGTAATATACCTGATAATCAGCACTTTGCGATTATATATAATTTTCAAATGCAGAAATCATAATTGTTTAGAAAATTATTGGGTATACATACATCTTTCCCAAATGTACTGTATTTATTTTCTAAGAATTTATAAGATAGCCTTAAAACATATCTATCTATCTATCTATCTATCTATCTATCTATCTATCTATCTATCTATC